GACGTCTGGGCCCGCGTGCCCGAGACGCCGGCAGACCGGCTTGGAGACCCACTCCCCTGGCTCTTTAGACCCAAAGATCCGCAGTCCCGCTGTGGGCAGCTTTGTGAAGCCCAGACTGGCTTCACTGGGAAGGCTACCGTCAGAGCTCGCAAGATTCGCAGCCACACCCCTGCGCTACCAGCCTAGTAGAAAGGCACACTTTTTCTTTTTTAAACGAATATATCGTCTAAAGTCATCCTTTACCTTATCTTGAACTTCGGTCATTTCATACAGGATTTGACCCGTTCGGACTTAGCAGGGAGGGGCCCTGGTGGTGTGTTGGGCAAGGTCAGGAGTCGGGAACCGCTAGCTGCTCGGCGGGAGAAAGAGGAGGCGTCTCTCCTCCCGTCCAGAGCTACAGTGTCGGAAACCCACTGAGGCCGGCAGGGTCGCTATGAGTCGGAATCGACTCTGGCAGTGAGTTTTTGATTTAGCAGGTATTTGACAGCTCTGGAAAAAGAAAGAGTATGTTACGATAAGTGAAAAGGAAATTGCATGCAAAGCCGTCTATGCACTTGTGTGGATCCCCACACTTCCTGCCTCGCATGGCACAATGATTTGACCTGCGAGGAAAGCAATGGAAGTATATGAAAGAAAACCCGACCCAAGCTGTTCTCCCTTCTGTCCACAACGTCATCAGCCAGCCCTAGGATTGGGTCCCCCATCGGCAAAAAAACGGGGAGAGGCTAGGAAACAAGATGGAAATCCACCCACCACAGTCAGGGCCGCTTCATTCATGTCTTCTCCACTGTTATTCATCACAACAGTTTAAAATCACCTGATTTCCCAGAACAAAGCACTTGTACAAAGGCAATTTCATAAATACAGACCTGATGGGACAAAGGGATATTTGCATAAGCATACTAAACAAAAATATGAGTGAATAATGAAAGTTTAAAGCCAAATCCAGGTCCTGGTGCCCTTGGAAAGCAAAGGTGTTTAAAAAGCTTTGTGAACAGGAACACACAGGACTGCTCCTCTCCTGTGTGTGTGGGGGGGGATGTGTGTTTCAGGCTAGCAAGATCTTAGAGTGTAGACAGGAGGCTGAGACTCCTGATGCTTCCAGTTGCTCTTACCTCCAGCCTTTGCCAGTTGAAGTCCAGCGGTTGGAAGTTACCTTGTTTGGGGTGAGGAAGCTGCTTTCCTGAGGCTCATGAAGCAGATGAAGTCATTGGGGAGTGCTGTCCAGGTGCCCGACCCCACACCCTCTCAGGTCCCTGAGAATGCTCATGAGGTTAGCTTGCAGTGCGATCTCTCTTTCCCTCTCCCTGCTCCCTCTCAAAATCTCAGCCCATATTTCCTGCTATTTACGACCCAGATTGTTCTCCTGCTACGTCAAAGGCTAAACATGTCTTCCTCCCAGACTTCCGAGCTCTGCTCAAACTTCCCATCCTGCACAAAGTCCTCCAGCTCTGGCTCCTTGAAGCCCAAAGATACTAAAAGATGGGTGTGCCCACTTCTGTGTGGGGAGTTTAGCTGGTCCACGTTCCTTGCTCACCTGAATGCATGGCTTTTTCATTTTTTAAGAAAATCTACATTCACTGTTTTCATTGTAAGACTGCAATTAACACATTTGACCGCCAAGTCAACATCTTTTTGGTGTACGAATGTGACACCAATTACATCAGTCATGTTGTGTAAGTTTTCCATCACCGTAAACAGAAATTGAACAATTACCGTACTAAACAGAGATCCTGCCTTATTCCCTGCTTTCTGCCCCAACGTAACCACTACTAAACTTTGCTACCTATTCATGGCTTACTCTAGGTATTTCATTAACCGGTAAGTGGGATGATGTCCTTCTGTGATTGACTTACATGTACTTTGGCAAATGAGTGGTGTCCCCCTATTGTTCATACTACTAGGAATCAGAGTGGTGTCACCTCAATTCCTTTTTAGAAAGAGCAAGCAGGGAAAGTCAACCTGTCTCCTGCCAGTCCTGAAGTTGACAGACACGTCTGCCACTTGATTCCCCAAAGGTAAACTATTTAATAAGATTCCAGCACTATCTAGCTCAACTGCAGCCAAAGGCTCCACAGAGCCAAGCTTGGGGAACGCGTCACTCAGGCTTGATCCTACTACGAACAATAAAGTAATAAGTCCACAGCCACTTTTTGGTTCAGTTCCCTGATCACTGAAAGCTACAAGTATTTTGTGAAATGATTTGTTTCCTGGCCTGTCTTCATGTATCCTACAGGTTAATTCTAAAAACCAACTTAAACAATTTAAGGAGAAGCATTTTGTCACTAAACATGATTCACGCAGGGTGTGAATAGCCCTGGTATTTCCCTCCCCCTCCCCCACTTTTCCTTTTGTTGGCTTCAAGTTCCTTTTTTCCCCACTCCCACCCCCCCTCTGGTTCAGCCCAGGTCTAGACCATTCTTATCAAAATAGCTGCTTTTACTTCTTAAACCAGGAACCACCCTTCCCTCTTTCAAAGCACAGCTCAGAGGCACCTCCTGTGGAAAACCTTTCCCAGCTTTGTCTTGAAGAAGGAAATGATGGCCTGCCAGCAGGGACATGACACCACTCCCTTACTTCCTGTGCTGGGCAGCACCTGTCAGTGTCTAGCCGAACACACAGCACTGCTGGGCTCTGTCATAGGAAGGCCAGTTTTTATAAAACACGCACACTCACGTTAGCACTATTAACATGTTTTTACACTAGTGATTTTTTTTCTAAGGAAGAAAAGACAAACAGCTACCCCAAGGCAGTAATGAAGAGCAAGTGATAAAATGGAGGGAAGGAGTCACAGATCTGGGTTTGCCTCTTAACTAGTCCAAGTAATCCCCAACTTATGATGCAGCCGAGCCACAATAAACTGCATGCATGGCCATCCATTTTGTCTTGTACATCTATCCTTAGTAATATGTATGTCCTACTTACACGAGGTTGTACGGACAACGGTCACCAATTTTCAGACTAGAAATGCTATTCCACCCCCCAGGGATAATCCAGAACCTTGCACAACTGACAAACCGCCAATGTCTTCAACTTGCCTTCATTGCTGTAGTGTTTGTTATAGGCAGGGATGATAAAAATGTATCTGTAAGTTTCTAGGCAATGCTTCCAACTCCCAGAGACAAACACCAGGTTTACAGAGATGGCGATGATCAATGGAAGTAGTGATGAAAATGAAAGAGCGCTGTTTGACGTATGTCAGGACCTCCGAGGCGGCGGGCTCGGTGAAAGACAGGGGAGCCTGGCAAAGTCCGGGGCTGCCTGGACTTCCCTCTGAGTGGCTGCAAGGAGGACGGTACCCAGGGACCCAATGTGTGCAGCAACCAAAGGAAAGCCCTTTGTCATCCAGTCGGTCGATTCACAGGGACCCTGTGTGTGATTCTTCAGAGGGGACAAGGCCTCATCTTTCTCCAGGGGAGCACCTGATGAGTGGGGTGAAGCAGCCACCTGTGTGCGCTCCAGAGCCCAAACCTACCCCACCGGGCCGCCACTAGGACGCCTTCGTGCGGCGGCAGCGCTAATAAAATGTGCTGTCCCGCTGGTACCAGCCCCCTTACTCAGAGAAGCCGTTCCTGGCTGCCTCGTCTAGATCCAGCCCGTGCTATGCTTACAGGAACCACCTAACTTCCCGGCACGCATCGCGCTGTCAGGTGACATGCACGGGGGTCATCGGGCGAGTGCCGCGGCCACAGGAGCGTCTTCGTCGGCTATCGCTCGTTACACAGAATCGCTTCGATGAATACTGTAGGATAAGCAAATTAGAGCTGAACTCCCAAGTTGTCGGACTCGGTCGAGACTCGACCACTTCTCTTCATCTTGGGGAAAACGGGCGACCAGGCACTGCAGACTGAGGGAGTGCGGCTGTCACTCCTCTAAGAGGCGCGATCCTAGAAGACGCCGGGGCCGTGTTTTCACGGCTCACGTCCGGGAGGACCAAACTTCCACCACGGCGATGTCCCTCTGCCGTACGACGGCCCAAGATGGCGGGCCCGTAACTTGACAACCACGTCGAAGATGGCGACTTCCGGTCGGCGCCTTGGCGACTTCCGGTCGGCGGCGGCGCCCCGCCTCCGGAGCCCCGCCCACTTCCGCCCCGCGCCGCAGCATGGCCGCTCTGACGACTCTGTTCTGCAGTGAGTGTTGGCGGGGCGGGGGGCGCTCGGGGGCCGCCTGCCAGGCGGCGCGGCTCTCCGCCAGCACTGTCCCCTCTCCCAGCAGGTGTCCGGAGGCTGCACTGCAGCGCGGCGGCTCGGGCGGGCAGCCAGTGGCGGCTCCAGTGAGTTGTGGGAGGCCGGGGTGCTGGGAGCCCTGGGGCGGGACTGGGTGTGCCCTCACCGGACCCCATTTCTCCCCGCAGGCAAGGCCTGGCTGCCAACCCCTCCGGCTACGGCGCCCTCACTGAGCTCCCGGACTGGTCCTACGCGGGTGAGCGCCGATCTGACCCCAGCTCTGCTTCGGAGATGCGCCCGGGCGCGGGGAGGCGGGCCCGAGGGGGCGGGCGGTCCTCGTGGAAAACGGAGTTTGGGTGCAGACGCTCTATTGTTGTGCTCATTAAACGACGGCCATGGAAAATGAAGTTAAACAGGATGATCGTCCCGGCTTGTGGAGATGAGCAGACGGCGGAGCTCCCAGCTTGGAAGAGCACCGCAGGCTGCCAGCCAAAAATCTTTTCCTTTACCTTAGGAAAGGGATGTGGGAGAGAGAAGAGAGATGAAAATAAACGGGATGTTGACCCCAAGAGGGACCTGGGGGAAATTGAAGCCGCGCTGCACCCCTGGAGGGCTTCCCCAATAGGACGATGAGAAGAATTGAAGTCCACAGTGATACATTGCCTGTGGCCACACAGCTCAGTTGGTGCAAAGCCAGGACTAGATCCGAAGCCCGGCGGCCAGGTACAGCAGATTCCAGGACATAGATACCCGATTCAGATCCGGCTTAATCAGAAACGTGGTGGCTGATGAAGATGGGGAAGCTTTTTCCAAGCTTGTTGTACAACTGTAGGGAGCCTGGGAAGCTTGGTGGAAAGATGGACTGCCGGAAGTACAGACGTGATGTGTAATCCAGGCTTTGTGCTTGCCAACTTTGTGATGGTGACAAATTACGAAATTTTATCTGAGTCTCAGTTTACTCTTCTGTAAAAGAAAAGAAATATCTATGGCATATGGTTCTTTGTAAGACTCAGAAAAAAGCAAGAAATGTAAAACACCTACCCTGTGTAAAATTCCTGATCATCAATACCTCTTACCTGCCATGCCTTCAAGCTCGGGCATCTTTCAAGATACTGCATCTTTCAGCAAGTTGTCAGAAAGGTGTGGAGCGTTTGTTACATGTTTATGTGCCTACCACCATGGGGTAGGCATTAGGGCTGCTTGCCGCAAGATCAGCAGTTCAATCTACGAGCTGCTGCTCAGGAGAAAGATGAGGCTGTTTGCTCCCAGAAAGATTTACCATCTCGAAAATCCTGTATGGGGCCCCTGTGGGTTAGAATTGACTCCATCAATGGCAGTGGGGTTATGTGTTTATACTATAAACAGCTAAGCAAATTAATAGTCTTTGCCACAAAGAACTTAAAGTCTGCCTGGGAAAACAGGTCAGACTTAGTTTCCCATACTGTAGAGAGGCGCGCTACGGTGTGGTGGTTATACTTGGGGCTGCTAACCTCGGGGACAGCAGTTGGACCCACCAGCAACTCCTTGGGAGCAAAACTTGGCTTTTGAGGGTAACTGTCCATCAGAATTGAGTCAATGGTTGTGCGATTTGACTTGTTAACCAGGGAGACCAGCCCTGGAAAAGGAGCTCGTGCTCAGGGAAGTAGAAGGCAAAGCACAAAAGGCGGAAGACCCTCAATGAGATGGATCAATGACATGCTGGCTGTAGCAGTGGGCTCAAGCACAAGTTACATTTTGTTGCACATTGGGTCGCCGAGTTAGAATCGACTGGGCAACACTAACAGCAACAAAATTAGCCCCATGCCAGGGGTTACCCTCATCTGTTTGATTGTCTTGTTTTTGCCCTGTTAGAGCTGCTCAAAGAGCTCTCGGAGTCAGGATCGACTCCATAGCAGCGAGTTTGTGTTTTGAGTTGTATAGGTGAGGGGGGCGTAAGCGTTTTCGTTAAATAATACTTCAGTACTCTGCCCCTTTCATGCAAAAAATGCCCCATGGCATCTTAAGGGACCCATACGAACTCCTTTCAGAAGTGGATGAGTGAGACCTCTCTGAGAGCACGAGCGGTAGAGGTGGGCCTGAAAATGAGGCTCTGGCTAGAAGGAAAAGGAAAGCGGGCATGTTGTGGAATGGGGGGGAAGATTCACAGTAGCGCCACCTTGATCAGCTCATTGGAGTAGAAGGTTTGTGACGATGAACAAGAGGCAGCACACTGCAGGAGAGCTTGGTTCTCCGCTCAAGAATGAAATAGGTGGGAACGGGCCTAGGAGTTCTTGGTGAGCCTATGGACCTCACCCTTGAAGAGGAGGGACTTGTTTCAAAAGGGATTCCAAATAGAGGGCCTAGAGATGGGTTCTTCCCCCATTCCTTAACCCTTGCCTTTTCTCTCTTCTATCCGCAGATGGACGTCCTGCACCCCCAATGAAAGGCCAGCTTCGAAGAAAAGCCCAAAGGGAGAAGTTTGCGGTAAGTGTCGAGAGAACCCAGCCGGGGCTACCTGTGTCTAATCAGAGAAGGGAAGTTTGCATTTCACTTGCCTGGAACGCCTATGCTAACATAAGATGCTCGGGCTTGAAGAAGAAGGGAGGAACGGAGACTACTAATAGAGTAGTACACCTCGAGGGTAGGAGCAAGAAGTCGACCGGCTGCCGCACATTGCCCTGCCTGCGTTCAGACCCAGGACCTGGTTCCCCGCCCCTTCCCCAGTCAGCAGCCTCATTCTCCAGCTGAAACGTCCGGCTTTGTTGTGCGAGTGAAAGGGTGCATGGTGCAGAGCTCAAGCCCCAGATGTTATCCACACATCCCAGATGTTTTCTTGTCTGTTTCAGAGACGAGTTGTATTGCTGTCACAGGAAATGGAGGCTGGATTACAGGCGTGGCAGCTCATGCAGCAGCAGAAGTTGCAGGAAGAAGAAAGGAAGCGGGAAAATGCCCTGAAACCCAAAGGGGCTTCACTACAGAGCCCCCTTCCACGGCAGTGAAAAAGCACCACTGGCCAGCTTGCTTCTTTTTTTAAAACGAATAAAAATAGATGCAGCAAAGCAATGATCCGTGCAACACTTACCTGTACGATCAGGGACACTGATTCTGTGCATCATGGTGGGTAACCATGGCCGCTGCCCTTTTCCAGAGTATTGCGTCACCACTAACCCTGGCAGCGCTGTGGGGTAGGCATTGGAGTACTAGCCACAAGGTTGGTGGTTCAAACCCATAGTCCGCTGGAGAAAGGAGGCTGTCTGCTTCTGTCAAGGTGTAACCTCCAAACCCCTATGGAAAGTCGTTAGGAGCTGGGATTGACATGGTGGTGGTGGGTTTCCCTCCCTACTCTCCCAAAACCAAACTCGCTGCCATGCCCAGTCATTGCTGACTCACAGCAACCCCGTGTGGGTTCCCGAGACTCACTGTTTAGGGGAGTAGAAAGCCCAATCTTTCTCCCGAGGACCATGCAGATAGCAGCCCAACAAGTAGCCACTGCACACTGCTATCCAGGGAACCCACCGTTAATAATTAGTCTCTAAACCACAAATTCATGTAAGTAGGATCCTATGATATTTTCCTGACATTTCATGTAGCATATTTTCAGGGTATATCCATGAAGTAGCATGCCATTTTTTATGAGAATATTACACATTTTGTTTACCTATGTATTAACAAGCACTTGGGGTGCTGCCACTTTGGGGCTATCGTGATTAGTACTCCAAGTAAAATGAGCATTCAGGTTCTCTGGCTTTCTTTTCTAGCACCTAGTGATCCCCCCTCCGGAAGATAGCCTTTGTTTCCACTTGTCCTCAGAGCAAGAGCCTGGACCCTGGGAAGAACAGGTTATAGCCATTGGTCGCCTTCCATCGGGAGCAAAGGAGGGTGGAAAATCAGACCCGAGGACATAATTAGTGCAGAGGACTAGCATACCACTAAACAATACAGCCTGGGATCAGAAAAGCTAGATGGTGCCCAGCTACATCACCAGCAGCAGTGGCCTGGGTCACAACAGTGAGAGAACAGTGGGACAAAGTTTAAATCCA